GCTGAGCGTTTAGAGATTATTGATCGTCCATCATGCCACTTTCATTTCTTCTACTCTCGGTCAAAATTTCACACGCGTTTAAATAAAATCCAGCTCTATCGGGAAACAATAAGAACTCTATTGTACGAAATGTCGGTAAATATAGATAATACATTCATTGACATTACTGTACTATGCTAATTTTTATATTTTAATTTCCAAGTTTATGGTAAAAATGATTATTAGATATATTATGCACATTTGATAATATACCTTTTAAAGCATACTTTACGTTAGTATATATATTTATTTAGATCAACAATGTTCATATTATAAATAATTGATATAAAATGAGACAGATATGAAAATATATATAAACTGTTTTATCTACGGAAACGATACAGGATATTGACAAATTACCTTAGCTTGTCAGACGGAATTAAGCACCGTGATCTAGATACACATTTATTAAGCTGATTGTTCGAATGGAATGATGTCTTTATTACTCATTAAGCAATATCAAGTAACGCAAATGATATAATTACGCATAAATGCTAAAAAAACTGACTTATAATATCAATTAATTCTGAAATAGACTATGTATTTAGTTTCGTTTCGAATGTATACGAATTTGTATTATAAAAAAATTTGTATCTTCTGTCGGTATTGCAATTTCTCTTTATATGTACTTATTTTTAATTTTTTCTATCGTCAGTTGGTCAAATTCTAATGAAACAAAAGAAACAAATGTCTATCTCTATAGCTGGAAATCCTACATCATGGATCGGAGATTTACCGTTTCACTCAAGTAATTGGAACTAGTCGAACCTGTTAGGAACGGCTGTTTTTGCATTCCGTTACACGATTCATTTTGTATTACGTTCACCATACATACTTTTCTGTATACATTGGAGTTGATTATTTTTTTTCAAATGCAGTTGATTGTTAGATTAGATATTGTAAAGTTCAATGATAAACGTATGCAGAAACTGGTTTGTGACTTCAGCATTTAATGTTTTTCTCAATTTCTAAATAATAAAAATAGAACAATAACTTCGTAAGTATGATGAAAAGTAATTTGAATTATTTGAAAATTAATTCATTTTTACGATTGTGTAGTATTGACGTTATTTTATTATATAATGAACAATCGATAAAAAAAATAGTTAAAATTATAATTGTACCGTTTGATATTTGCAATTTTTACGTAACAATAATAAATTTGCATAAATATATTTTAAATTGTAAAATTTGCTCTACAATAAAATACTTCAGTGAATCTGGTGAAAGGAGAATTAAATGCATCAGAGATCTATTCTCTAGAGTTCATTAAACGATAATTGCTGTAATTACCATTACATTAAACACTGTTGCACCTACGTGTTGCGTAATTGTGACTGTTTTGTACAGTTTAATGGATAATTTGCTTAATATCGCGAAAAGCGGAATACAAGAAAAAGAAACTTCATGAATCATGAACTATTGTGAGTCACATCGCATATATTTCTATCTAGAATTACAGTCGACAGATGATTATGCATTGCAATATGGCTGATAAGAGATTCTTATCTCTCTGTGTAATAATAACTACAAATCCTGATAATGCTAAAGTGTAATTTAAGATGAAAATTAAAACCGTTCTACGTTATTAATAGAGAAATTTCATTTGTTTTGTAATTTTTGTTACAATTTGCAGATATGAAATTTTTTAATCATTTTAACATAATAGTGCATAGATATTAGTGATGAAATTTCTTAATCATTCGTTCTGATGAAGAGTACTTAATTGTTCGAAGATTTATACATTCACGCGTTTCAATAGAAAGTCTCAAGGAAAACGGGTACATGAAAGATAACTACAGTACGAGAGATTTCATTAATAAAAAAAAATAATCTTGGTATTTGATAGGAGGTTTTAAAATCGGATATCATCGAATATGTTTCATAAAGTTCAAATCAATATGGGTTTGTTCAACATATATTGCAATATCGTTATTATTTATTAATTTCTGTATTTCAAAGTATATATTAATTTTGCATT